TGGGTAGATGGCAATAAACTAGTTCTATAAAAAAAAAATCAGCAAGACACAAAGGCAGGCAGAAAGAGAGAAAAGGAGGGATGAAGAGCTCTAAAATATGTAGAAAACAACAATATGGCAGCATTAAGTCCTTCCTAATAGGTACTTACTTCAAAGGTAAGTGCATTAAACTCCCTAATCAAGAAACTGCGTGGATTAAATGAATGCAAAATCAGAATCCAACTACACGCTGTGTTCAACAGACTCACAGCTAATTTAAAGACACATATAGGCTGATAGCAAAATGACAGAAAAAGATGTATGTTTCCATGCAGGTACCAAGCGAGAGCAAAAAGCGTTCTCTCTTACAAAGAAGAAATAAATAGACACCAGCACAAATCTTTCTTTTCAATGAGTTAAGAGAAGCTAGTAATTTAAATGACATAAATTAACATATGTATTCAGGTAAGTTTGAAATAATGAAATGGGTAATTTGGGGAACCACCGGAGAGCTCCCTATTTATTTTCCATTGTGCTCCTCGTTTCATATAGATATCCTGAGTTTCTCATGAGAGAAACCATGTGTCAATCTTACACGCTGAGTAACTACTTTAAAGATAATGACACACAGTGTATTAACTATTGTTATTCCAGTATTATTTTGTTATGAAATTGTTTTTTTTTTCCATACAATGAAGAAAAAATGAGTAGGAGGATGGAAAAAGCCAGAAAATGTGAAGAAGATTTAAATCATGCAAACTAAAAGAAAATCACACAAACTGTCTTTGGATTAGAAGTAGAAACAGAAAACTGGAAAATTCACATACATAGATTTGTTTACTCAATAACAAATTTTAAACAACTGATGGGTCAAAAGTTACAAGGAAACAAATGAAAATGGAAACACAACATATTAAAATGTATAGGAATCAGGGAGAGCATTACTAGGAGGGATGTGAGAGCTATAGGTTTGAACATCAAAAACAGAAGAGAGGTGGGCCAGGGACTTTAAGTGCTCAGTGTTTCTGCCACCTGCCTCTCAAGCACAAGGACCGAGTTCGATCCCAGGTACCAAAAAAAAAAAAAAAAAAGAAAAAAAAAGAAAGACGAGAGGTTTCAAATAAACAACTCAACTTCACAGCACAATCAAATATATAAAGAAAAAAAACTAATAGCAAAAAAAAGAGAAGTCTCAGCAACTTCAAGGAAGAAACAGAATTACACAAAATGAATCAGACTAATAACTGTTGATACTTATCTGCAACAACTTTGATTACAAGGCAACACCTTTCAAATTTGGAGGAACGGGCCGGGGATTTAGCTCAGTGGTTTGGTGGCCTGCTTTGCAAGCACAAATACCGGAGTTCAATCCCAGGTACAAAAAAAAAAAATGGAGGAAAAACGATTTGGTTTAAATTTCATCTCAAGTTAAGCTATAAAATAGAATTATAAAATTTGGCCTGAACATGTACATGAGTAAGCTTGGGGAAAAGAAAAAATATGGAAATAAAAACAAGAAAAAGTGGGATTTTAAAAATCAGGGATATGGGATATACGAGAATCCTAGCTGTGATTCTAGTTTAGTTTAGATTGGACATTACAGGTTGCTGTTAATAACTCAGCATTTGGAAAAGTCATTCATGTGCTACAAAATCTGTGGGATCAACCAGAAATAAAGCAATAGATAAATAGAAAACAAAAGCAATGATAACAAGATAGCTATTACTAAATATTACCAAATTACTAATAAAAATGAAACATCATAAATCACTCCAGGCTCATAAATGATCAAGGTTGACACAGTTAAAACGATACAAGTCTGAACTAAGTACAAAGAGGTGACAAAAGTATCTGGAAGATGGAGGACACGAAAGCAAAGTGGATCTGATGGGCATAGCATACAATTCCTCAATCAGCATCATGAAAAGCCAAGAGACAATGACTGAAATTGATAAACTGAGGAAGAACAGCATAATCCCTTCATTAAGATAACGAAATAAGGATCAGAAGAACTCACTAAAAGAACTGCCTAGGAGCCACATGTGACTGACTCCTGTAATCCCAGCTAGTAGGAGGCTGAGACAGGAGGATTTTTTTGGGGGGGGAGGGGACTGGGTATGAAACTCAGGATCTTACCTTTGCAAGGTAGGCAATGATACCACTGAGCTAAATCCCCAGCCCTGGAGGATTTAGCTTTTGAGACAAATCTGGGCAGCATTAGGGGCCTTCATCTAAAAAAAAAAAGCAATTGGGGCTGGGGAATTAGCTCAGTGGTTCCACCATCTGCTTCACAAGTGCAAGGATGCAAGTTTGATCCCCGGTACCAAAAATAAATAAATAAATAAATAAAAAGCAACTGAATAATTGCAAATAATGGCTACTGACTGTGTTGTACTGCAAGTCATACAGTGATGTTTAATTTTTTTAAATATGCAAATATTTGCTTGGGTTAAAAAAAATTACCCACCTCTCTAAAATGTCACACTGTCAAAAGGCTGTAGTGAGGTTTTGAACTCACACACTAAACAGTGAATTTAACACTTCTGCATTCCTATCAATAGTTTAAAAAGCAAAGCTGATGGTGTATATAAGCAGATTGGTTGTAACATATGTCTCAGATATGATGACGCTCTCATGTCTGATAAAAACAAATGATACCAGAGAGACAACAACTTTAAAAAGTCTTTAGAAAGTAACTTTTATGGAGATTCAACAAATAAAAAATAAAACCTTTAAAATTCTTTCTAAGGCCAATCTGTGGGAAAAGCTTGACTAGTTATTTTCCAGACATTCACAAACAATTTCAAATAAGGATATCAAACAAGACACGCATACACATTGGTTAAAAAGTATGTAAGAGTCTCTTCGCATCAGTGTCAGCACCGTAGTATGGCAAAACTCCTGCTGTGTTCTTGATAAAACCACCCTTGCAACATGGGAGCCATCACACAATGTGTGGCAAAGGGAGGGCAGAGTCCAGGCTGCTCCAAGACACCGGGAAATTCTGATCCCCACACGACACGCACAGCAACGACTTCAAATGAAAGGAGACGCTTCCAATATGCCTAGGGGAAGCCAGGGGCAGTACTAGAACATGAGGAATGAGGACCGCTTCTATTTTTAAAGGGTTTGGAACCCCGGACCTTAGGCATGCTCGGCAAGCTCTCTACCACCGAGCCATACCCTCCGGTCCAAGGATATTTTCATAAAAAGAAAAAGAATGAGAATAGCTGGCGACCGTCTAAGTCCCTTTCCCTACACTGAGATGCAATACCAAAGACCTGTGAACCCAAGGGGGAAGAGGTTTACCGTGGCTCACAGTTTCAGTCTAGGGGTGGCTGACTCCAAAGCACTACAGCATGGCAGAGGGGCCCGGGTGCAGAAAGCTGCTCCCTCCACAACATTCAGGAAGCACAGAGCGAAGGAGGGAAGGAGTCAGGGACAGAAAAACTTCCAGATCGAGCCCCGGCCAGGGGCCCCGCCTCTCCTATCCTGGCCGTACCTCCTGAAGCACCCTCAGCTGCTAAACTCATCAATCACCTTCCAAACGCCCCACTCTGAACACCTGAGCTCTACATTCTACACTAAAACCATAAAGCCCAAACTTGTACTTCTGTACATTTAAAATGTACAGAAGCGGGGTTCTGATGACCCGATACAATCTGTGCTCCTAAGAACTCCTAGTCCACCTAATTCCGGCTCTGCTTCTTAATAGAGGGAGAAAGGAAAGACACAGATTTGTGTTTTACTTTTGGTCACTACCAGTGTTTGTTTTGTTTTTCTCCATCAATCGAAAGTACCTCATCAACAATCATGACAAAACTTATCACCTATTAACACCTACTGGTAGCAAAACAAATTTAAGGTGAAAACTATTGAAAGTAATCTTGAGTCAAATTACATAACAAAAATAGAAAGCATTGATTGTGAATGAAGAGACATCATTCTATGTCAAATAAACTCAATTTTAATTAAAATTTCTATGGAAAATTCTCAAAAACTAGAGTCTAACCAACTATATACACAGATGGTATGACTTTCAAAGGACTCATTCATTGCAAGCACTAGTTGTAACTTCTCTTAACAAAGTTTCACTTGGAATACTGAACAGTTAAAACAAAAAAGGGTTCCTGAGCTTAAATGAAACATAGAAGGAGACAACAGTCAAAACAGTGTCCTAGCATGATAGCTAATGTTCAGAGTTCCAAATGCATTTACTCATTTACTCCTTACCACAATGACATGAGGTAGGCTCTATGATTAGCCTAATTTTAGAGCTGAGCACACACACACACACACACACACACACACACACACACACACACAAAGGGAAACTGAATTAAGGAACTTGCTCAAGGCCACACCCTTCAGCCTCTAAGACTTGACCCTTCTCCTGGACGGAGATCACCCACCCTCCCTGCCCACGCAGCATCTGCCCTGGAGTCCTCCTTGCCCTGGAGACTCAGCACATCAGTGATGTTTGCTGACATTTTCAACTGCTGGTTTCTACACCTTCACTGTCTACCTCCCTCAGGACTGACTCTAGAGACTTACAGGGATGATCAGGCAATGTCTCCACTCTGGACACACTCACCTGGACGGGGCTGCACTTTTTGGTTTGATTAGATTCTGAACAATGAAATAAGAAATATCCACTTGACAGGCTCTTCAAAGTGGAAGACAGCTTTTGCTTTTTGATAAGCACTTGTTGTTAGTTCTATCCTACTTTGTGTTTCCTTAGAGAAGAACTCACTGTTGGTGTTGGTGTTGGTGGGACACCTTAGATGTGAGTCAGCCAATTGTGTTTTGGATGAAGAATCTAAAGCTCAAGAAAGTTATGTGATTTGCCCAAAATATTGATGTTCTGCAGAGGTGCAGCCATAACTAAAACCTCGCTTTCTAAGCTTCATGCAAGGATTTCTTTCTTATTTTCAAGATAGAGCTAAGCCAAGTACTCAAATCTAAAACTAATAAATTATTTAAGTGGTTGACAATGCTGGACACAAACCCAATGTTCTTACCTGTAAGAACCATACATGACTTTCTGGCAGTCAACTAACAAAAATTTCTGTTCCATTTTTCCGTGGAATTTTGCTCCCGTTTTTGAAAGATAATCTTGGCCGCTCACTGTCCGCACTCGGATGTTCTAAAATTATATGTACATATAAAGTAAAAATTATGGCTGGAAAGGAGATATTTTGAAAAGTAAAATGTGTATCGATATAAAACCTTACTATCAAAAATATTAACCTAAAGTGAACTTTTAAGACACATAAAAATTAATGGAAAGGAAATTTTAAAAGTTATACCCAAACCTCAGTACTAAAGAAAAATAATCACATCAACAATATAATTTAACATGGCAAAAACAGGAGACAATACATGTACACAGAGTGCTTCATAACTCCCTTAGGATCCCACTGTGAGAAAACTTCACAGATTATAGCACCATGATAACCAAAGAGATAAAATTAAAATCTGTCTTCCTCTCAAAAGTGAAATGTAACCGAAATTTAAGCCAAATGATTCTGTCAAACAGCACCTGTGGAATCCCAGAATCACTCAAGTCAGCGGGTTCAAGGGTACCAGTGGCTGGGTAGCAAAATTAACTTGGAAATGTACAATATGAAGATGTGTATTTCAGTCACATTCTGAAAAGGACAAGGGGGCCCTTCTGTGATCAATCATTATATCACTGTACATATACATAGTTTTCTTTTTACTTTTGGGATATTCTGTCTTAATATGCCTTAAACTTGATGATGATAAAAATGGTACGCAAAAGTACTGGAGAAAAAAGAGAATTCTTACCCTGAGTCGTTGAATTTGACAACCCTGTTTTTCAGTCATGTTGAGAAAGTGATTAAAATTGAACTCATCAAGCAAAATGTACACAGATATCCCTCGAGTTGATGCCTCTACTATTTCTTTGAAAATGTCCACATCTGTAAATACGTCCATCACTAAAGCAATGACCTGTGAAAGATAAGAATAAGAATTAGGATACTTAACAGAGACAGATGAAGAAATTTCTTAGTTTCAATAAATACTAAACAAAATATAAAATAAATATATGTATAAATATATATACAAACAAGAAAACATATTAAAGCTAAGGGAAATAGAGTGAATGCTTAAATAAAAACGTCATTGCAATAAAAGGCATACTGTCATTAATCCCCTTCAAAATAGTCCCCCTCAGAAAGGCAAGACCTTGAAAACATTATGGGGTGTCCTTATCCAGCTTTTTTACATTTGCCACTGCCACTTTTGGCTCGTCCACAAAGTCAAAATGACCATTAGGATTACAAAGGTTTTTGAATTTTATGAAGGGCGTGGTGGCAGCCAGGACAGTGCAACTGAGGACATTCACAAAAGAGGATTTCCACACTGCTTCAGAATTATGAGAGAAGGTTGGGATAAGAGTGTTAGAAGACAGGGGAAAGATTTTAGGGGGACGGACGGCAACATGTCCTTTGTTATAATAATTTGTTAGACATTTAAGCATTCCTCCTATGTCTTTATCAGACTCATGTAGATTTGTAACGCTAATAATTTTCATTGCTGAGATAAAATCTGCATTTCAGTAGGATTTTGGGTGTAGGGTGAACCAACCTACAGATTTCAAGGTTGTCTGGTGGACAGACATGGGAGCCAGTTAATAATTTTTCTTGGGGGATACTTCCAGGGAACAGGAGGGTCTGTAGAAGTAGACTTGTTTTGGTTTTTAATTTTCATTAGTTCATGTATTCAGGAGACAATGACTGCATTCCTTGTGTGAGTTGGTACACGCACATAACACAGCTCAATTCTTTTTTCATTCCTCTCCCTCCCCTTTCGCCCTCTTCCCTCCGTCTCTTGATCCCCCTCCCATTTGAGAAAGACCTCCCTACTTCCTATATTATCTTTCGTTTTACATTTATATTTTTTTATTTATATTTTGAGTTTCTCATACAAAGATAAAAAGCACACTATATTTCAGCTTCTGTGTCTGATTTATTGCACTTAACATTGCGGTCTCAAGTTGCATCCATTTTCTTACAAATGACTGGAGTATCCTTTTCTATGGCAGAGTGAGAAAAAAATCACCAGCTATTTCTTAGACAGAGGATGAAAGTCTAGAATATATAAAGAACTCAAATAAATAGACGTCCATATAGAAGACCAAATTTTAAAAATGGGCAAGTGAAATAAAAAGATTCTTCTCACAAGAAGTGCAAATGGCCAATAAATACATGAAGAAGTGCTCTACACCTCTGGCCATCAGAAAAATGCAAGTTAAAACAACACCGAGATTCCCTCTTAGTCCAGAAAGAATGGCCATCATCAAGAAATCAAATAATAACAAATGCTGGAGAGGCTGCGAGGAAAAGGAACCCCTCTATACTCCTGGTGGGACTGTAAACTAGTACAACCACAATGGAGATCAGTATAGAGATTCAGTATAGCAAAAAACTAATACTAAAAATTTCTTTTGACTCAGCTATTTTTCTTCTAGGTGTCTCCCCCAAATAGCTAGAACTATAGAACTAGGTTTTTTTTTTAAACAATAATAACTTCACTGACTGATCAGCTCCTCTATGTACCACACATACCACTTCAAATATGATAGACAAGAAAACAAAATCCCTGTCCTTGTCAAGCATACCTTCTCCAGGCAGAAGATAGGACATATGAGTAAATTATGAGATAAGTTATAAGATGCTAAGGCATTGTGGGGAAACAAAATCATGTCGTACAAGGGAGATTATGGGTTCGTGGAGAGTGAGAGGAGAATGTTAGGCACCCAGGAGAGTCTCCTTGGGACAGGGTCCTGCTGAAAGGAACTGAAATTATGCACAGTGACATCGCAGGGAAGAGGGAACACGGCCATAACTGGGTGTCAGTGACACAGCCATGGCAAGTTCAACAGGGGAGACCGAGTTAATCAAACTGGAGGGCACGCTGATGGCTGTGCAGACAGGTACCAACGAGGAGGGGGTGCTCCCCTGCAAAGCCAGAGGGAGGTTAGTGAAGAGGTAAGAGCAGAAGCCTTGCGTGGGTCGCCTAAGAGAAGGGCATGACAGAAACTGGAGGGACAGGAGGCACACACCTGTAATCTGCCACTCTGGGAGACTGAGGCAGGAGGATCCCTAATTGAAACTCAGCCTAGGTACTTTGGTGACTTAGACTCTGCATCAAAATACAAATAAACTTCCCCATTAGCCATTGGGAAGGGGAGGGGAAAGGAAAGAAAGGAAAAGAAAAAAATGTGAGAAAAGGAAAAAATGGAAACAAAGTCTTTGGAAACAGGAAAGGGCAGAGGATGTGAAAGGAGGTCAAGGGTACAGGGGGAAAAAATAAGAACCAAGATACATCCTGTAAAGATATAAGATCCCAATGATAAATGTAACCATATTGTTTGCTTTAAATGCACCAATAAACTTAGTAAAAAAATAAGTAAATTATTAATTAATTAATAAGTAAATACATAAAAGGGCTGGGGATGCAGCACAATGCACAGACCTTGGGTTCAATTACCAGTACTGAAATTTAAAAAAAA